TAAGTGAACAGTGCATGAATGAACAACATGGAAAACAGAAAACTGTTATTCCAGGCACAAGCTGGACTTTAGGTCTTAAAGAACCAGTCAACAAAGGCTGTAGTTCACTCAGAAATATTTTTCTGTTCACTTTGTGTTCTTGGGGCTCAGCACACACAGGCCATCATTAAACAGGGATTTGCTAAGTGATAATTTGTAGTGAACACTAATTAAATATTCATTCTATCTCAAAATATACTACCCATTCTTATGATAGACTGTATGAGGTGGAAACATTTATTATCTCCATTTTATAAATTTTAAATGCTTTCAAATGACTCACCAAGGGTCATCTCTCTCTCTAGTAAAGCCAGGGAGCCAAGATTCAAACTGCCGCAGTAACACAGCCTCACAGGTAACCTCAAACCTCAGTGGTACAAAACAGAAAACTTTTTTTTTTTTTTTTTTTTTGTAGTATTGGGACTCAAATCACAGGCCTTGTTCATGCTAGGCCTGAGCTACATTCCTAACACAATTAATGGGACACTATTGCTACTGGCTCAGTTGAGCTGATCTTACACTGCTTCCTCACATGCCTGGGATTCAGCAAGCTACTGGCCGATCCAAGATGGCGTCAGTTGAAACAGCTAGAGCAGATGGGCTTACAAAACTACATCAATTTGTTCCAGGCGCCTTGTCCTCTATCATGCACGTTGTCCACAGTAATATGTGAAGAACAAGAGATAGATGGCTCACATGCAAGCATTTCTCAAGCCCCTTTCTCGCTCTGGTTTGCTGACATCTGATTGGTCAGAGCATTCACAATGTTCCTGCCAGAGCCGGAAAACATGCCCAGACAGACAACAAAGGGTACAGGGACAGGTAGGGGTAATGGTGTGGGCTTACTACATACTACTGACTACCACACAGGCCCCAAAGCTGGAAGTCTTCGTGATTTTTCTGTGCCATCTCTCCCGGGAAAAGAGAGAGGGAGAGAGAGAGAGACAGGTGCAGCTATGAATAGAGCTTGGTGTCTGCCCTGCAATTTTGACAGTTTGATAGGTACCAGGGAAGAATATGACAAAGCAGCATGGCAGAACAGAGAAGGGAATGATCCAACATGAAATTCACAGTGAAAGGCATATTCACTGGCCTGTATTAGACACTGTCACCACTAGCTATGGGAGGCTGGGCAGGTTTCGACATTTCAGGTTTACTCACTTGTAAAATGGGCGTTAGAGTAACACTTTCCTTCCTGATGTTTGTTGGCTGGTTGGTTGGTTGAGTTTTGTGGGTTAATTTTGATAGACCTGGGATTGAACTGGAGGCATCACAGGTGCCTGGCAAATGTTTTCCCACTGGGCTACAGCCCCAATACAGGAGTCATACTTATTAATATTTTTTGGTAGAATTGAAGATGCTGATTAAAAAAAAAAAAGACAATTAGTAAGAACTTGGAACTATGCTAGACATGCAGCAAGTGTTCAGCAAAATCAAGCTATCATCGAGCAGTTCATGGACTCTCTCCAGGATGGGAGCCGCTGAAGCACATCTAAGATTGTTGGGCTCTACCTCCCCCAAAGGGTTCTTGACTGCCAGTGCAGGGCCAAGAGTCAGCTGCTGAACAGGCGGGTACAGAAGTTGTTTGGACTCTGTTACAAGTAGATCTTCTCTTCTCCCCTCCTGGTATTTACAAACAGGGCATAGAGACTTGATTGAACTCTAAAAAAAAAGAAGAAGAAAGAAAAGACTTAAGAACTAGTCACTTGCTAGGCCCAGTGGTGGCACATGCCTGTAATCCCAGCACTCAGGGAGGCAGAGGCAGGCAGATCTCTGTGAATTCGAGGCCAGCCTGGTCTATAAAGTGAGTCCAGGACAGCTAAGGCTACACAGAGAAACCCTGTCTCAAAAAACCAAAACCAAAAACAAAATTTGTCACTTTTTTTAATGTATTTATTTTATGCATTTGGTGTTTTGCCTGCATGTATGTCTGTGTGAGGCTGTCAGATCTTGGAGTTACAGACAGTTGTGAGTAGCCATGTGGGTGCTGGGAAATGAACCCAGGTCCTCTGGAAGAGCAGTCAAAACTAGTCACTTTTGCTCTCAATGTTTCTGTTTTGAACCTAACATCTTTTCTCTTTCTCTCTTTAGCATGTTTGGTATGGCATATCTCATCTGCAACAGATATGAGGGTTACCCTTTGCTGGGTACGTAGTGAGCCTTGATTTGAAACGTTCTGTTTTGGGGGGGGTTGTTTTTTTTTTCTTTTAGGGGGGCAACTAGAGACTAATTCAGGGTCTCATGCATGTTGCAGAAGTTCTTGATTCTTAGAACCTCTTTACTGAACTCTAACAAGACATACAGAAAAAGGCACCAACGAGAAGCCCGTGTCCTGATGAGTTATGACAAAATGAAAATAGGCACTTATCATCCAGCTCAAGAAATAGAAAAAATAAGGTCAGAGAAATGGCATGGTGGTTAAATGTCTGCCATGTAAGCCTAGAGACCTGAGTTCAAATCCCCAGAAACCACATAAAAAGCTGGGCATGGCTTCAGGCTTCTGTAACCCAAGTGCTTTGGAGTGGAGACAGGGGATCCCTGCTCTCAGTGGCTGGGGAGTCCAGCCAGGGGCTGAGCCTGTGTTCAGTAAGAGATCCTGCCTTGGAGATAAGGTGGGGAGTTATAATAAAAGACACCTGTTGTCAACCTCTGGCCTCCATGCCTCTGAGCACACGAGCACCGACATCTGTATGTCTGTGTCCCACACATGCTCACATATTTACTCACACAAAGGAAAATAACAGTGTGTTAGGGATTCTTACATGTGCCTTCCTGCCTCGGCCCTCCTTACCTCCCCCACCCCGGGGCTTCTAACATTCTGGATTATTTATGTTTATTTTAAAACCCACACAAACCATGGTGGCATTCAGATTTAATTCCAGCACTCAAGGTGAAAGAGATGGGTAGGTCTCTGTGAGTTTTCAGCCTGGTCTACATAAGAATTCCAGAGGCTACATAGTGAGACTTTGTCTCAAACAAACAAACAAATAACTTAAATCTAACATGATGATTTTTTAGCTATTTAGGAGGCAGAAGTAGGAGGATCTTTCAAGCCCAGGAGTTCAGGGCCACCCTGAGTAACATACAAATGCCTATCTCTTACCCATACATTGAAAAGTATAATTTATACTCATGGAACCATACTTTAAAAAAATTGTAAGCTGGGCACGGTGGTGCTCGCCTATAATCCCAGCACCCAGGAGGCAGAGGCAGGTGGATCACTGTGAGTTTGAGGCCAGCCTGGTCTACAAAGTGAGTCCAGGCTACACAGAGAAACCCTGTCTTGAAAAACCAAAGAAAAGAAATATTGTAAGAATGTTTATTCAAAAGGAGGGAGAAGATGGTTGGAATGGTCAAGAGATACAGAGACTCCATGACATGGCCAGGACCACAGCTTCTGTCATGGGAAAAAGGAAGGAGAAAAGACCAGAGCTAGAGCAAGGCTAGAAGCTGGAAGGAGGAGGCACTGTATCTGCCCCCCAAAACGAATACCCTCTATTGCCTGCTTCCCCTCCTTTACCTTGGCCACCTAAGATCCTATATTCTGACTCTGGCCCTCTGCCTCCTTTTTTTCTCACCTTGGCTTGCCACCTGGCAGGTACTCAGTGGGATGCTTATGGTCCAACTGCCCTACCTTACTGAGGATACCTCTCTGCCTTCCCTGCTGCTCCCCTTCCCCAGACAGCACCTTTCCCTTCACTGGGACAGAATCTTTGATTCTCCTCCCTCCCCCTTCAGAAAAACAAACACAAAAAATGAAGCACTCAGGAAGGGGCTTCAGAGAGCAAGGAAGAGACTGAAGGAGGAGAGCATAGGATGGTTAGAGAAAATGGTCACAAATCCCTGGGAAAGAGAGCATGCGTTGACGGTGGAGAGCAGACTCTTCTGCCACTCCAGGTTACTGTCCAGGGGACTTGAGCACAACTGAGGATCAGATATTTGTAGGGTCAGCTGGCCTAGAGAGGAGGGGAGTGGGAGAAACATTGAAATGGAGTGACATCCCTTTTAGAACATCCTCTTCCTCCTTTCTCTCTGGAGGCTCTTTAATTGATGGAGAATAGTGAGAAGCTGAATTTCATACCTGTATACCTAGTTCTTGTCTGGCATGTGTCGGCACAGAAGCACAAAAGTGAACACACATGAAAAAACCTATGTAAACTTCCTTTTGTTTAGTAGTGTGTTATGACATGTGCCCCTATTAATGACTGTTTCTATAAGTCGCTCTTGGTTATTACTACATCGGTGCCATTTTATAAATGTACCATTCATTTTTCCTGGTATATAAGATGTGGGTTATTTCCAGGTTCTTACAGAAAATTCTTACACAAGTCTTTTTTATATAACTGTTTTATAATAGAAGATGAGTAGCTTGGAGCCATTCTTGTAATCCCAGCTCTCAGGAGGCTCAGCCAAGAAGATTGCCATAGTGTAAGACACCATCTCAAATCACCACCAGCACAAACAAGCAAGCAAACAAACAAAAATATAAATAAGCATGCATATGCACTTTGTCTAATATACATGTAAATGTAGACATATTTGTGCATATATGTATACATGAGTGATGTGGTCAGAACGAAGTATAATTTTGGTAGATGATGCCATTGTCCTTTATCTTTGCCAACAGCTCCTTTTATCAGTCTTTATGACTTAAAAATTCTAGCTCTAATATGGCTGAGTTCTTTTTTGCCCATGTATCCATCTTTTTAATAAAATGATTATACAAATCTCTCTTCATTTGGGCTAGGTTTTTTTTTTTTTTTTTTTTTTTGAGACAGGGTCTGGCTTGTATTTTTGTTGTGCTGATGACTTTTGTTGAGACAAAGTCCATACAATCCAAGATGGCTTTAAATTAGCTATCTGCCTGAGGACACCCTTGAAGTCATGACCCTCTTGTCTCTACCTCTGGAGTAATGGTATTCCAGGCCTGGGCCACCGTACTAGGTTTCTCTTTTTTCTCTTCAAATATGGAACCCTTCACAGATTTGTGGATCATCTGTGTACAGGGGCCTTGCTAATTATCTTTGTGCCATTCCAGTTTCAACTGCTTGCTTTGCCCAAAGCACTTTCTTGATATTTAATGAACAGAATTCTTAACTGCAATGTAGTTCAATTTATCCAACTTTCGTTTTTACACCTGGGTTTCTCTGTGTGCTAATTAAGAGATCTTTTCTCATCCCTATGTTTTTAGCTAGCTTCTCTTCCAGAAATTCTGTTTTACCTTTTATATTTAAGAGTGAAAGGGCTCAGGGATGTAGTTCAGTGGGACAGCACGTCTTAATGTGCACAACACTTAGCGTGCACAGGATTCAGTCCTCTGTCGCCCACAAACATACTTTCATCTGCACTTTATGTAGAAGTAATGCAGTTGGGATTCTTGGTGGCAGAATTCAAGTTGGACAGGGAAGTAGATGCAAATGAGGCAGCCATGTTCTCGAGAAAGAAGAGACCAGATGCAGCCTGGCTATAAATTCCGAAGACAGTTATTTGGAGTAGCCCTTGCTGTTCCCTTCTGAACAGTTGTCCCTGAAAGACTCATCCCAGTGACAACTGTGTCGCGGTCATCAAGAGAAGACTCTGGCCTGTCTTTGGAGCAGCGGTTCTCAACCTGTGGGTCTCAACCCACTTGACAAACCTCTGTCTTCAAAAATATTTGTATTATGATTCATAGCAGTGGCAAAAACACAGTTACAAGGTAGCAATGAAAATCATTTTTATGGTTAGGCGTCACCACAGCATGAGGAACTATACCAAAGGGCCACAGTGTTCGGAAGATTGAGAAGCACTGCTTTGGAGGAATGTTAGGCCTGAGTCTTAGTGTCTGCTATGCCTTAGGGATGCCAGTCATCCCCCAAGCTGCACAACCCAGCACTCAGGCCAATGGAAATACCCCACTCTCAGGCCTGCAGCAATTACACCCAGTAAGCGAAGGCTCCCTCGCTCATGAAACTAGAGAAGAGGGAAAATATATCTTTTCACCCTCCCCGAAGCCTTGTTTTCCATCCCAAGAAGTGCTTGTAGTGAGGACTGAAAGTAGATGGAGTCCTAACACCTTCCACCTAGACTGACAGCCATCTTGGAACACACGGGATGATCAGCGGACATTCCTCAGTTTGACCCAGTGGGTGATCCAGTCTCTTTAGACTGTATTCCACACAGTATCAGGTAAAAATCAGGTTCACACGCTTTCCCTTAAAGCTATATCCAAAGATAGACTGCAGGAGAACAGCAATGTGGGAAATGCTCTTCTCTGATAAGAGTTCCTGCTTCCAAAAATTATGATGGAGGACAACAAAATTACCAGGGGAATAATATTAGCATAAAAAAGGCATACACCAGTCATTTCAGTAGGATTTTGTTCATCACTTGCTATTGTTATGTTTTTGTTTTTGAAGCCGGTGTGTCATGTTGCTCAGGCTGGCCTTGAACTTGCTATATGCTTGAGCTCCCAATAATCCTCCTCCCTCTCCCAAGTGCTGGAATTATAAGCATGCACAAACATGTCTAGCTAGACTTTACTTGGATAGAAACATGATGCATATATTTAAAGATCAGGTGACCAAAACCTCATTTTAAAATCCAATGTAAGACAGCCTGTGTTCCATGTGAGCAGGAGAGAAAAGCTAGAGGGTTTCACCACATGGCCCCTTGACTCCCCTCTTTTAAGTGAACCTCAAATTCTCAGAAGACAGCTCATAACACTGAAGTTGAGATGCATTTTCACAAAGGGCATGTGACTGCATGGCCTTCTGCTAAACCATAGGCAGAACCTTACACTGCCAGGCAAAAGAAACACCTCTCTTTCTAGAACACTTCTGTGTTCGTGATCCTCTTTCAGCAAAGACATTAGATAACACCCAAACATGTGGGCCCTCTACCCACCGATGACAAAAGGGGAGAGGGGCTCTGTAATCAGCTGTCCCGCAAAGAAACTAGAGATGACCCAAATGAGCCTACAGTTCTTTTCGCGGAAGTTGCTCGTAGCAATGAAAACTTTCTTTCATCTCCTTGGTGTTTACCCAAGTGTCAGGTCTCAGCCTGGGCCTCCTGCTTCGTACCCTTTAAGGCAGCCAAACAGAAAAAATGTGATAGGACATCATCCAGGACAGTTTTTATATTGTTCTCTTTCCTCCCACATTTTCCATATTTTCTACAGTAAGCATGTCTTAGTTGCATAATCAGGCTGTTAAAAAAATAATAAGATCTACTTTAAGGTTAGAGAGCCTACTTGTATAATCTGTGTAAATCTTGATTTCGTGCAGTATGATTAAATTGAGTTGTAATGAGCTCACAGATAGTTTTCCTTGAGAAGAGAGGTATATTTCAGTGGTAAAGCATTTGGCTGGCATCCCAGAGGTCCTGGGTTCCATCCCTGGCCTGGTGGAGACGGTGTGAGGGCAACAATAAAAGAACTTTTCTTCACAGCTTTTAAAAATATATTTCTAAACTATTTTCTGTTGGCGGGTTTGCTTCTTTGAAAAAAACAAACAACAGGACGCGTTAAAGAGATCGACTATTTCATGTCTACTATGAAGGACTTTCTGGTGACTAACTGCAGCCGAGTTCTAATGTATGAAGGATTGTCAGGATATGGAAAAAGCCAAGTGCTTATGGAAATTGAGTACCTGGCCTCCCAGCACAAGAACCACAGGTAAGGGTCTTAAAACTGTTCCTTGGGACCTTAGAAAATACTGACACACTTAAAAGAATTTTACTTTTCCTTGTATAACTTGCCTCATGTGAACTATAGCTAGCTATAGTTGTTGGGAAATCAGGACCCCTGTAGCTGACTAGGTAATTTAATGATAAACATTTCAAACTAAGAGAAGGAGAAATGGTGCTGATATCTGGAAATGCCAATTTAATGTTGGGGCAGGCTTGGGGACTTTAAAACTTCCTGCTTAACCCCAGAGAACAGGTAGGTTGGAACATCTAGCAGAGTCTGAGGACCAAACACTCATGTTTCTTTAGCTACCTGATTGGTAGGCTGCTGCTTTAAAGCTAGTTTTGAGAGTGGGGCTCAGGACGCTGGGCAGTTAGATTTTCAGTCTAGAGGGCAGAGCTAGTGTGCTTAACCTCATACTATTTATCTGTAACCTTATACTATTTATCTGTCCTCACACAAGACATGCCGTAAGGGCTCTCTTCGGGAGGAGCTGCCTGGCACTCTGAGGGGCTTGATTGTACAGTAATGATGACCAAGATCAAGTCAATAGTGTCCCCTATCTTTCCCAGCTAGCCTAAAGGGTATATATGGTGAAAATGCTTGCTCTCTTATTTTTATCCAACTCCTATCACTTCTTAATATCAAGCCTTAAAAAAAAAAAAAAAAGTCAGTTTCAAAATGTCCTTAACCCTGCTGAGGGGAAAATTACCACAGGAAACATTGGGTCATGCCATTACTTATTAAATTCTTACTATGTTCCAAAAACTGCTAAATGCTGTATTATTTACCAGGCTACTGTCACAAAGTACCACAAACTGGGTGAGTTAACCAACAGAAAGGCTAAGAGTCTGATCTCAGGTGTTAGCAGGGTTGGTGCCCTTACAGGGCTAAGAAAATGCTATTCTTTTCTTCTCTCCTAGCTTCTGGTGCCAATGTTTAGTGCTCCTTGCCTTATAAACACATCACCTAAATCTCTGCCCTCATCTTCACAGAGCACTTCCGTGTGTGTGTGTGTGTGTGTCTAAGATTTTACTTATTATGTATACAATATTCTGTCTGCATGTACACCTGCACACCAGAAGAGGACACCAGATCTCATTATAGATGGTCATGAGCCACCATGTGATTGCTGGGAATTAAACTCAGGACCTTTGGAAAACAGCCAGTGCTCTTAACCTCTGAGCCATCTCTCCAGCCCCTGTGTGTGTTTTTACGTGCACATATATTTGTATTTCTTTCCTTATTGGCAGGAGTTTGTGTAGCCCAGGCTAGCTTTGAACTCTAGATCCTCTTACTTCCACCTCCCAGATGCTGAGATTCCAGGCACCACCACACCTGGCTACAATGACAGTTTCATCTTATTCGATTTTACTTTGATTCTCTGCAACTATACTATTCCCAAACAGGGTTGCATTCTGTCGTAGTTGGGAACTAACACATGGATTTTGGAGAATGCAAGTCAATCCTGACCAAGTATCAATGCCCCGAGTATGAGTGCTGTATGATCCCTACTTTCAAGGAGCTTAGAAGAGAAGGACATGACCAGGAAAAGACAATGTGGTGGGGGCAGTGGTAGAGATGAGCAAAAGAATAGCAGAAATGCAAAGACAGGGCATGTAGCCTAAACTCAGGGCATCAGGAAAGTCTTCCAAGAGAACAACGCCAAGATTTGGCTTGTAAAAGTAATTTTTATTCTCCTGATGCAGTTGTTGTCTCTGAGGCTTACAGCTTCCATCTGCTAGTCCTAGGAGCTTCTGGTCTTTGTACAGTCTAGGCCTAGAATGTTTTCAGCCTCTGAGACTTACTGCTGAATAAGCTTGCCCTTTCTAGCTCTTCTGGACTCTGACTGACTGGTTCAACCCAGTTGTTCTGGCTCAAACTCCTCTCCAGGCTTACTGATTCAATCTGGCTTCTCACAGCTTCTGATTTTTTGCTCTGCTTGGTTGGCCTCAAACTAACTCTAGCAATCTGTCCTAATCTTCTGGTTCCTTCTCATTCCCTGGCTCATCTGCCTTTAGCTGTGTCTAGCTTGTTCTCTCTTCAACCTGTCTCTTAAAACTTTTGGTAAAACTGCCTTCTCTCTCTTCTCTCTCTCTCTCTCCCTCCCCTCCCTTCCCCCTTCACTCCTTCTCTCCTTCCCTCCCACTGCCCCTCCCACACCTACTGCTCCTCTCTGTTCTCCTGAGAGTTGGGCTTATCCTGTTCTGTCAAATCTTTCTCTCATTCATCACTTTGTCTAATTTTGTCTCTAAATTAGAATGACTTCCAAATCTGGGTGCTCCCTTCTACAAAGTAACTTTACCTTCATTAGTTGTGAATAAAGGTGTGTGCTAGGGGGTGTGTCCATATTCCAGCCAGAGTAGGCAAGTTGCTGGCTTAAAATCCCTCTACACTGACTT